AGACTCCGGGTTAATCCCCACGGCCTTTGCATTTGTCAGCCCACAGCTCCTGCTCTCCTTCAAGCACAGCCAGCTCACTGCCAAGGGGTGTGTTTGGTGGAAGGGAAGCTCTCTGATAACCTGCAGTATGTCTGTGTGCTCCTAGAGATGTCTGTATCTCAGAGCTGTGATTGTTCTTCACTGTATCCCTCTTTCAGGCTCAGATAGGTGTATGGGGCTGGTAGAGCCCATCGGTGTTGGAGAAGTGGCCTTATGCCCTGTGTTTGTGCTCCTGTGGTGTGCAGAGGATCCGTTGCCACATCTGAGTGAGCCAGACCAAAAAATGAAAACCAAATTCTGGTGTCAGCCATGCGGTGAGGTGCCCGGATTCCCAGCATCGTTCAAACAGCAGATGTGGATCCAGGGGGGTGGCTGGGAGCTGAAATAGCGGTGGAGAATTTCAAGTCTTTGTCCTTAAAGATGAAATTACACCTGGGTGTTCTGTTTGTTTCTTATAGTCTGATGGGGGATGATAAGGAGTCGAGGGTCTTCCTTGGAAACAAAGATGGTAACTTATGTTTGGATTCCTAATTTTGTGTCTGACCCAGATCAGCCCTGGAGTGCATTGTTTGAACTCCTAAAAATAAAGCAGTGAGATTAGTATTTGCCTTAGCTAAGAAACTCTCATGAGATGTGGTCATGAACTGAAGGCTTCAGGCCTTCTGTTTGCAGATGCTTGGGTAATGAACTGCGGAGTAATTGCTCCTCAGAGGCTGTGCTTCAGTCTCTTTAGGGATGATGCATCTCGTGCATTGCCAAGTGCGTTGTTTTGAAATTCTGTCTAAAGTTTGATCTGAAGTTAGTGCACAGAGGGGAACAAGGCTGGGAGCAGAAGAAATTGGAATTTTATCATGAGGAGGTGGTTGCAAAAGCTTCCCTTGGGGCAGCTGCTGCGAAGGATTGTGTTGGGATGAAGACCAGGTAATGAGGGCTTATTTCCCTTGAGTCAGCTTAGAAGTGGGACTTCATTCTTAAATGTTATCCTGAATGGAAACTTCCTGGTAGGTAGGTGTGCGAGGAGCTCAGCAGGAGTGCAGTGCTGTGGTTTCTGTCACCACTTTGAGCTGAAAATACTGTGATTCTGCAGGCAGCTGTATGATGCTGGGCAGCCTTATGGTTGGGGAGCCTAGGACATAGTGTTGTTGGAAAGGTACCTGCATGTTTAGGTTGCCAAGCCTTGTTTGTTTGTGGTGTTGCACTGCAGAAGACTAAAGGTGCCATGCTGGAGGTGGTACTCCTTCACCATGCAGAAGACCTGCTTTGTTTCTCAGACTGGAGTGGAAGCCCTGTGGGACCTGAGCTGCTTGCTCTCCTGTCTGTACCTGCTGTGCAGGTCGGGGCAGCACGACCACTTCTGCAGCTTCACCACTCTGTAGTCATGCTCAGAAAATGACAGTTCTGCATGCTCGTGGAACTGCGTTACGAGTTGTTGGTGAGGAAGAATATTGGTGCAGCATCTCTGTTAAGTACTGATCGTATTCAGACCGCTGACCTGAGCGTGGAGAACAGCTTGTATTCGTACAGACAGCGTGCTCTGAAGTGTCCTGCTGCATTTGCTGCCTTTGTCAGTGGGTTGTATCTAATGGGAGCTCTGGCAGCAGACACAGAGCAGACACATCACTGCTCTCGAAAGAATTTTTCTTTTATCAGTTGAGCTCTGGCCTCTGTGCAGCAGAGTTGCATTCCAGCAGCATCTCCCCGGGAGATGAAAGCAGAGGCTTGTTTCAGGAGCAGGGATTTTGCTGCAAGAGCTCCTGCCAGAAGGACTGTGCTCTGAGTGCTGCCTTGTTCAACAGAGCACGTCTTCAGCCCCCCAATTCTCTCCTTGCTCAGTGATCATTTATTTGTAGTTATTAACACAAAAGAAGAAAGGGTGCTTAGAATTTAGGAAGTATGGGACACCTTTTGGAGGTTTCTTAAGGACATTTAGGATGAGTTTGGCTAGTAGTTCAGTAAGTGGCAAAAGAGGAGAGTGAATGCAGAGAGCAGTCCCTAATTTGCCTTGCTCAGGTGAGGTTGCAGGGCAGTAATGGCAGTGGCAGCAGAGTGGCTGTGCCAGAGATTTCCCAGCCCTTTTCTCCATTCCTCCTAGTGCTCTGGCATTGCTGCATCCATACAGCATCACCACGAGCAACCTTCCTTTGTACTGCGTGTGCCAAACACTTGCATCTTCACATGTCGCCCTGAAACAAGACAAATCCCCTGTGAAATCGTGCCTGGTATTACAAGAAGCACGCAGTCCTTGTTTCTTCTGCCCCAGTAGCCAGGCTGTGAGCAGGGATGTAGCTCCTGAATTTCCTTCCTTCTCCAGTTGCTGTGGCTGTGTGAGGCAGTGGTGGGATGTCACTAAGAGGGTTGTGTGCAGCCTGGCATGGCTCCTGCCCAGGAATGCTGCTTCCTATGGCAGTGTGCCTGTGTTTGTAGGTGTTGTAAGCTGGGGAGAAGAGGACAAGAAAGGCTCCAACTGTGACAGGTTGGTGCAGAGTTGTTTGTAGTGGTGGTGATGGTGTTGAAGTGATGGCCTAAAAGTGCAAAGAGGGGGAGAAACATTTAGGAAGTCATCTTTCAGCAGGCTGGAGGTACGTAGAGAAATGTGGGTTCAAACACGCTCGCTTTTCTGAAGTGTCTGAGTTTACACAAGCATGTTTCATCTTGAAGCTGTTCAGGATTTTGGAGCTGGAGGAATCAGCTTTGCAACCTTGTGTAAGCAGTCATAGAGTCATAGAATGGCTTTGGTTGGAGGGACCTTCAAGGATCATCCAGTTCCAACTGCCCTGCCTAAGGCTTATGGCAGGGTTTCCATCCACCAGGTCAGGCTGCCCAGGATCCCATCCAGCCTGACCTCAAGTGCTTCCAGAGGTGGAGCACCACAGCTCTGGGCAGCCCATTCCACTGCCTCACGGCCCTCTGAGTAAAAAATTTCTTCCTAACATCTAACCTAAATCTCCCCTCTGTTAGCTTAAAGCCATTCCCCTTTGTCCTATCACTATCAGACTGTGTAAAAAAAAATTGCTCCTCCTCCTGCTACCTTCATGTACTGAAAGGCTGCAGTGAGGTCTCCCTGGAGCCTTCTCCAAGCTAAATAAATCCAAAGCCAATAAGCAGAACAAGTCAATAGGAGATCCCTTTCAATGCTTTCAGTTCTGTCTTATTGGTCAGTGCATTGAAACCAGTCCATATTTTGGAGATGAGGAGCTGTTGCACACTTGGCTGGGAGGTGAAAATATCCCCAGGGACTTTGCTCATACAAGGCAGGGAGGTGATGGTTTGCCAATATAAGCAGCAGTAATCTTTCGTGATTCATTCAAAGGCATCATACAGTGAAATAAAACCAAACCAGTGTGATCACATCAAACTCCTCATTTTCTGAATGCATGAATGTGTAGATGAGGAGATCCTATTTTGGGAAAGGTTCAAGGGGGGCAATCCAGGGTGAAGCTAGTCCTGGCCAGCTGAAAATCACGCACTGAGCAGGAAATGCTTTATAGTAATGAATGTGAGGAAATGAATCCGTGCGATGCAGGCACTCTCCAGAAAGCAGGTCTGGTGGCATAAGGACTGCTCTCAGCATAGTGTCAGTGTCAGAGTATCCTCCATCCCTGGAGGCATTCGAGGCCAGGTTGGGTGGGATCCTGGGCAGCCTGAACTGATGGGGGGCAGCCAGCCCACGGCAGGGGTTGGAGCTGAGGTCCCTTCCAACCTATGAGAAGAAACAATAGAAAGCAGCAGGAGAATTCAGAGAGGAAAACAAGATGAGTTACTCTCAGCTCCTGCTTTACACCAGTGCAGATCTGTCACTGAAGTCATTTACACCGGTACAACTGAGAACTTGCCTCAAAGCTTTTCAGCAGCTGAAGGGGATTTATTTTAGATGGAAAGAACGTGTTCGGCATAGCTTGGCCAAATGACACCTACAGTGGACTTGGCAGCTGTTAGCAAGTATTTATGGGATGTAAACAGCAAAGGGAAAAAGGATGGAAATAGAGCGAGCTGCGGGGGAGCGGAAAAACGGGATGAAGGTGGGGAAAGGAAGTTTGTACAGCTGTGTGGCTGAGGCTGCAAAGAGTCCATGCAGGTGAGCTGAGTGAGCCGATGTGTTGGCATTACCTGCACACAGCACCGAGACTTTCTGTGCTTAGTTGCTGACAGCCCCATAACTCCAATTCGTGCAGTCTACATTTAAATCCATTTGTGATTTGACTCCTTTGGCATGTGGGCACAGCGGGTTCCCCAGTTTGTGTTATGTGTCTGTGTGTAAATCCTTCCCTTAACGCCAGCCTTTCCATGCAGTGACCTTACCAGGTAGCCCCGTGTCTCCGTGCTCAGAGATGCTTTGCTATTTTTACTTCTTATCCTATCGAAGTTCATCTGTTTTATCACCAGACTCCATCGTTGCTCTAAGATCCGTCTGCCTCTGTTGACATCAAGGAGGATTTTAGATTTACTGTCCCAATGGAGTTGGTATCATCCTCAAACACTGCCTCCTCATCTGCCCCTTGTCTGTGTGCTGAATGAAATTGCTTCTTTCTGATAACAGCTTGTCTCCGTTTGCTCTGCTTTCCATCTTCAAATTCATGATTCGTCCATGTGCTGAGCCATCCCATCATCACAGTCTGGCTGAGGTTGATTCTTCCAGTGATTCTTCTTTCCCAAAGGTCTCTGGAATGCATCCATCCTTGAGTGCTCCAGAACAACCCTGGTAGATGTTGGATGCTCTCCCTTGAAGCCATGCTGACTCTTCCCCCCATGGTTTACCTCCTGGCTGTTGTTCCCGTGTCGCTGTCCTTCACACTGAAATCAGGGAGACTTTTTGGGAGCCTTCTGCTGTCATTCCGCTTTTTCTGTATTTGGCTCTTGTTTAGCTGGCGTACATTCAAGTTCCTTTAGAAGGCAGCATTTATGTGTTCATGGTTTCTCAGTGGCTGTTTGTCTGATAGTGTCTCTCTTTGTTCTCGGCACAGGGGCTGCTCCCAGGTCGGGGTTATCAGGGCGCTGATTGAAGCTGGCATCCCTGTGGATATGATTGGAGGAACGTCCATCGGTGCCTTCATGAGTGCTCTGTACGCAGAAGAACGCAGCTACAATCAGATGAGGATCAAAGCCAGGCAGTGGGCCATGGTGAGAATTCCAAATGTTGCATTTCCCTTCTCAGATGAGAGCTTAAACACAAGCATTGGTAGGCAGCAGCCATCCGAGGCGGTGCAGCCATCTGCGCCTGCGTGCCCCAAGGCTTGGCAGGGAGAGAGTGAAGTCCAAAGGTTGCTCCCTGTTGTGCTGCAGCCCCAGGAGTTCCTTGAGGAGAGCAGCATCCACATACTTGGTTTTGCTCTGTGCAGCCTCCCAGCTACGCTACACATGCAGAAGTTCAAGTGTGTTAGCATGCACTGATTTCTGTTGTGTCTTTATTTGATGTGCTGGAATCCGTTTCCAACTTCCAACAAATGTTTTTTCTTTTGTATAATTTTCTCTCTTTCGTTCTCACATGCTGTCATTTTTCAGTGGAACTGATTGACAGAGGTAATCCTTCTCTTCACTAAATGCAAAATGTGTGATTCACGTTGTAGCCTTAGAGTTCTGGAGTGGTGATGCTCTGCTGCAGGGGAACTGCTTGACATTAATACTTATTACAGACAAAGCCATATATTTGTAGTTAGATGAAGGTTTGGGAGGTTGTTTGAAACAGTGACGTTTGTGAGTGAATTTATTGTGGGATGCTGGGGGGAAAAGAATACTAGCACCAGGTTGCACTGGTTGAAATTGATGAGTGGTGAACATCTAACGTTGTTTCTGAAGTTTGCTTGTTATAGTAGTATAGTATATACTGTAGTATTGTGCATTATTTATATGAAAATCACATTTTAATGTTGGTTTCCTTTTTGAAAGGCAATTCTTAAATTGCATTGAGCTCTGGGTCTGAATGAATCCTGAGTTTTAGGGTGAAAAAGGAGGCATTGCTTGTGCATCAGTGCTGTTTGCCTCTCCTAGGTGCCTTCTAAGCTATGGAGTGAAGCAGAATTGCTGTGTAGCTGTAAGACATGTAAGACACCACGTATCTTGCAAGCTAGCTGCTCTGTGGCACTGAAATACACACTGGGAGCTGTGCACATTTTTGCAGTGCCAGTGGGAGGGTGGCTGTGGGAGCTGGGCAGTTCACCTCTGTCACTGGGGGAGTGCAGCTCTTGTGCTGTACTGCCTGTGCTGGGAAGTGCCTGAAACATCAGCTGTGATACAGAGCAGTTTGCTGCAATCAGAAGGCTGCACAATGCAGAGGAGGCTTGAGATTAAGGATATTAAAACCAGTGGTACTGAATCGCTTCAGAACATTTAACCTTGTGGTCTTTATTTCCTGAGTATCAGAGCAGCAGTGAGATCGCCCTGCAGTGACTCTCCCTGCCTCTAGCAGTCTGTGGCTCACTGCCTTCTCTCAGCTGCTCTTATGTTTAATGGTCAGGTCGGAGTGGTGGAATTTTCCTCCATGCACTTGTCCAGGGGATGATCTGCTTGCCTGACGTGCCACGTCTGTTCTGTGTGTGGAGAGGCAGAGCTGGCAGTGCTGCTGTGTGGGTACCTCAGCGATGGGCTTCTGTGGCACTTCCATTATTGCAGCTCCTGCACTCCCTGGCCTCAGCTGCCATCACGTTCGCTTTTACCAGAAATGGTTAAAGGTAAAATGAAGAAATTTCTGCTATTGATGGACTTGTGAACACGAATTGCAAAGCTGAAAGAAGGTTTCCAAAAGGAAGGACAGGCTTTGGCCCAGCAGTGCGTTCCAGCCGTTCAGGTGTTTGTCCCTTAAAACCTGCATTAAGGTTAATGTCCTCTGTTAGAGCAAGTATTTCTCATTATTCATCAAGAATGGATTTCCTTCAGGTTTGTATGATTGTGCTGTCAGGTCTGTGTTTAAGCAAGGAATTACAGAAGGGTTTGAGAACAGAACAGCCCGCTCTGCTGGAAGCCTTCTCCCTGCTGGCAGCCTGCTCTGAGCTCCAGCCAGCACAGTGTTTGTGTGCTACAAAGCAGTGCAGCCCCCCTCCCCAAGCTCAGATCACAGCTCATTTACAAAGTAGTTTGAGGGATTTTATATATATATATCTACTTTTATTTTTTACCAGTGGCTTTTGTCAGTTATTCACAGAATCACAGAATGGCCAGGGCTGGAAGGGACCCCAAGGATCACGAAGCTCCAACCCCCTGCCACACGCAGGGCCACCAACCTCCACATTTCAGACCAGCCCAGGCTGCCCAGGGCCCCATCCAACCTGGCCTTCAACACCTCCAGGGATGGACGGGGCATCCACAGCCTCTCTGGGCAGCTGTTCCAGCACCTCACCACTCTCATAGTAAAGAATTTCCCCCTGACATCCAACCTCAATCTTCCCTCCCTCAGCTTCAAACCATTTCCCCTTGTCCTGCAGTTATCTCCCCTTTCTAAGAATTGATTCCCCTCCTGTTTGTAGGCTCCCTTTAGGTACTGAAAGGCTGCAATGAGGTCACCCCACAGCCTTCTTTTCTCCAGGCTGAACAGCCCAGCTCCCTCAGCCTGTCTTCATAGGGGAGGTGCTGCAGCCCCCTGATCATCTTTGTGGCTCCTCTGCACCCTCTCCAACAGCTCCCTGTCTTTCATGTGCTGGGGGCTGCAGAGCTGGACACAGTACTGCAGATGGGGCCTCACAAGAGCAGAGCAGAGGGGGAATTATTCTCGATTGCATTGTGATGCAGCAGCTGTAGGTTAGTGAGGAGAGCAGCTCCTGTCCCCAGCACCCTACAGGAGCGGAGCAGATCTGCAGAGCACACAGAAGATCCAGAAATGAGCAGGCATAAAAGGGGCTACTTCTCTAAGTGGCAGCTGAGCAGATCAGCACTCCCAGTGCTGCAGTCCCAGCTCTGTTCCTCCAGAGCAGCATCCCAGGCAGCAGCCCTGCTGTGCAGGGGGGCTTTGAGGAGGGACCCCAGCACTGCATGCTGCAGCAGTGCTGCTTCTGTGCTGTGCAGGGAGCTTTTTGCTGGTGGTTATTGCTGGGCTCTGTGTGTGTCAAACCTCACAGCAGAGAGGCCGCAGCCCAGGGGGGATTTGAGATGTCTCCATTGTGATGGATTAGATAACTCTCGTTGGCTTTTTTCTTTTTTTTACACCATCAAAACAAATGCTGGTATTTGTCCTGCAGTCATTTCTCTTCCCTGGTATTTTTAGAAATGGGCAGATCTGTAGTACAGCACTTTGGGGCTGGGAGAAGGGAATTTTTTAACCAGACGTGTTTTCTACACCTAATGAAGCAGCAAAGAAACGACTTTATTTGGGGTGTCACAGAGAGCTCTGAGAAGCAGCAGTCAGGTTGGTTGCTGTATAATGCCTTCGTTTTCCTTCTGTCCCTGTGTTTAAGCAGCAGGACTAAAACTAAACAAACATGCAAACAAAGCTTTCATGTTAACAGAGTGCTGGGGATTTATTTATTTTTTTTTTTTTTACAGGAGGATATTTCAAGGTATGCATATTTCACAAAGAATGGAATAGTCTGTTGTGGAAAGGAAAAGGATTATAGGAATCTTCAGTTAAAAGCTTCCAGTAATGAGAACAGTGTTAAGAATTGCTGGGTAGGATCCTGCAGCCATTTGCTGCCTGTGGGCTGAGGCCACACTTGCACAACAGCTCACATTCATGTAAGCTGGGCTTCCTGAGGTTGCAGCTGTACAATGAGCTGATCTGGCCAAATTTAATCACTTTTTTTTTTTTTTTTAACCTTTTGCCACGCTGCTTTGTGGCCAGCCCAGCCCTGGAGCTGTTCCTCCAGCAGCTGGGGAAGGAGGGGGATGCAGGCCAGGTTAAAGGCAATATGCATGGCTGGGAGGGGATGGATGCAGTGCCCACATGGGGGGCATTTGGTGTGGGCCTGCTGCTGGGAGTCAGGAGGAAGCATGAGGAGGGGGTGCAGCAGTGTCCCCCAGGGGTCCACCTTTGGGCTGGTGCTCTGCAGCATCTTTATCAGTGGCACAGACAGTGGGATCAGAGGCATCCTCAGCAGTGTGCAGATGACGTGGTAGAAGGAAGGGATTCCATTCAGAGGCACCAGGCTGGGGCTGGGGGCTGTGAAGGCCCCTCCAACCCAAACGTTCTGTGGTTTTTATTTTACTTTTGTGAATTCCTTTGCATGCTACCCTGATTTACTTTGTGTGCCAGGTCTTCCTGTGCACAACAGCAGCTACAAGGATGGGTCCAAGCAAACAAAGGCAGAGCATTAGATGAGCAGGCAAACACTGCCGAGCTCAATTAGCGTGAAGAGCAGGCAGAATATTTTGGGAAGGATACCTCCTGGCCAGAGGGGGTCAAAAGAAGGTGAAGGGAGTGTTGGTTACTGAGGCTTAGCTCTGATTCATCACAACAAAATGTACCACAGGCTAAAGCAACCTCATGTGCACAGAGAACCCTGAAGAAATAAGAACTTAGTTATATATTTTATGTGAATAAATGAGCACATTTTGTCTTTTAAACGGGGCTGAAAAGTTGGAGGATGTGCACTGGCTGTGTGCAGGAGGGGCTGGAGGAGAGCCTGAGCCCCACGGGGGTTTGTTGCTTTTTAACAGCATCTTAAATGTTATCGACTGGTGGTGAAGGTTTTACTCACTGGGTTTGTCTGCTTGCACAATCTAAATCAGGACAGATTGCTTTTCCCTTTCTCAGCAGACCATAATTTCCTCTGCCTTTCAGGTGGAATTCTGTGCTCCAGACTACTGACAAAAAGCAGAAATATAAGTTGTGTTGTTGTTGTTGTTAAATCTTAGATTTGTTGTAGCAAGAGGAACAGGAAGAATCTATTTTCCACGTATCTATAGCTGTGACAGCTCATCTTTACCATTTGCATTGTATTATCTGGGGTGCTGAAATGAAGCCCAAACGAAGCATCATCATTTGGGAAATTCAGATCATAGATTGCACACAGAATCCAGGCCCAACCTCTGCTTTGCAAGGTATTGTTAACCCATCCTGCAGCCACCTGCAGCTGTTTGCCAGCTCATGGTTGTGCGGGTGGCACAGGAGTGTCACAGCATCAGAACATCTCACCTGGAACAAATTCCCTTTCCTCCTGTCTCCTTTGCTGCCCTCCCAGCTGGCTATGGCTTCAGAATGGTCCAAGTGTTCATTTGGATTTATTATCTCTTTAAATTTTTTAATAGTTCACCTTTAAATCTGAACTTCCTCTTTATCTCTTTCTGCCCTTGGGATGAATCTCTCGCACTGTTTGTGTGAGTAATGCTACTTTCTCTCTTAACTTATTTTTCTTCATGCATTCCATTGCTTTTTCACTGACAGTGTGCAGCCCAACCCTGAAAAGGCACTACGTGAAATTCTGGATTCCTGCTGTTGTAGTTTAAAATGTTTTTACACTGGAACAGGTTGCCCAAGGAGGCTGTGGATGCCCCATCCCTGCAGGCATCCAAGGCCAGGCTGGATGTGGCTCTGGGCAGCCTGGTCTGCTGGTTGGTGACCTGCACACAGCAGGGGGTTGGAACTGGATGAGCATTGTGGTCCTTTTCAACCCAGGCCATTCTATGATTCTGTGATGATTTTTTCTACTCCTGCTTTTAATTGTATTTCTTGCAACAAATTTTTCCCATACCCTTGCTGGACTGGGGTTATCCTGGTATTGACACCAGTTTGTAACCATCCTGCACCAAAAAGCAAAATAGGCAGAGGTCACAGTTCAGTTCTTTTTGCCCATTCTCACCTATGTTTCCTCTTGTTGTTCCACTCTTTCCCTGCCCCTCCCTTGCTGAAATTCCTTACCCATGGGGGAGCTTTTCAAAGTTGCTCCCACTGGGAGCCTTTCCAAAGGGCTGTGTTCACCTGGAGGATGGTTTGTGCAATGGGGGCAGCTGTTCTCAGGTAGCAGAGGGAGGTGGATGGCAGCAGCAGCTGCTGGAAGGGCGTCTCTCATTTATGAGGATATTAAGAAATAGTCGTTAATTAGAAAGCTTTTGTTCATGTACAAAATTACTGCAAGCCTTAATTGCAGGTAAAACAATGAGACTCTGCAATAAATAGGTCATTTGCAACAAGGGTAGCCTGATGTGTGGTGCACCGTTTGGAGATCCCTTCTTTGGTATTAAATAATGGAATTTTTGTAAATTCTTCTTTCCTGGAACTCATCGCTCTCAGCACCACCAGAGACCAAATCCCATTTTAAGTACAAAACCAATTCCACGTGACCCTTACACTGGGGTGGGACGTGCAGTTTGGTGGCACACTGTCATCCCCCCTGTGGATGACAGCTCTGTGGAGCTAACAGATTGCTCCTGGGCCCTGTGCTGAGGATCTCTGCTTCTCTCACATTTTCCCTTTGTGTACTTGCTTTTCCAGACTCTTTTTTCCCCTTTATTTTGCATGGCTGTGTTTTCTCTGGGTAGATAGATAATATATGCTTAAAAGCAGCTGGGCTCAGCAATGTAGGCTAATCCTTCACATCACTGCTAGAGTAAAGGAAACGCCAGATGTTGATTGCAGAGCTTTAAATAGATGCAGGTTTTTAGAGGCTTCTTCATGCTGTGGGGGTCCAGCTGTGTATGCTGCCCTATTGTCTGCCAGTCTGTTTGTTAAACTGCAGAGCAACTTGGAGGATAAAATATTTCATCTAATATAAATGTTTATTTTTTCTAGTGAAGCCTTCTTTGTTTATAAAAGAGTGAACTCATAGAATCATAGAATGGCCTGGGTTGCAAAGGACCACAATGCTCATCCAGTTCCAACCCCCTGCTGTGTGCAGGGTTGCCAACCAGCAGCCCAGGCTGCCCAGAGCCACATCCAGCTGGTGGATTCCTTGTGGTTTGTTTTTGTCTTCAGTGGTGTGTTAACTGAATATGGTGTCATGTATTCAGGCACAGCATTTCGTTGGGGTTTATCAGACACTGAGTCCCATAGCATGGTTACAGGACTGATGTGCCCATGATGCTGGTTGGGTTATCAATTACATTGAAATCCTTTTCATCATTTCATCTGTAGGTTAGTGCATGGTTGTGCCACATCTGAAATGGAAAGGAGGGGAAGAAAAGGAAGAAACCATGAGAGCTGAATTACAGCATGTGTGTCGGAAGAGACACGATTGCCAGTGCCTGCCCACTGCTGTGATGCAGTGGTGTGTGCAGTGCTTGAGGAAGCCCAATGGGATCTGTATCAGACCTCTATTACTGATGGGCTTCCTTTCCATGCAGGCAAACTGTGTGTTCATTAGGGTAAATCCTAAACACGCTGTAGCTTCAACTCAAAAGGGAGATAATTAATAATTTATTTCTATTATTAAAATAAGTTGTACCATTGGTGTGCATTTGTTAATGCCTGGGCCCATGGCTTTGGAATCTAGTTTGGATTTCCTGGTAGAAGGGACACAAATGCACAGTCCTCCATAGCCTTACTGCAAACCAGTGCAGAGCTTGGTGCTTTTTGGTGTGCATTTCTGATGCTGTACGTGGATTTATTGGTCGTGGATTTGTAGTTGTTTTTCTGTCCCCTTGATGACTTTTGCACAGCAGCAGCAATGCTTCCCACACATTTGCTGTAGAGTCTGAAATGTGACCTCTCTCAACTTGCATGTGAATAGTATGAATTACTTGAAATGGTTTTTTTTTCTTTTTAGGTTATGAATTCAGTGTTTAGGACTATTGTAGACTTGACGTATCCAATAACCTCAATGTTTTCTGGAGCAACTTTTAACAAGAGCATCAGCAGCATCTTCAAGGACAAACAGATTGAGGTAGGTTGCTCACTGCACTGTGCACACATGTATGTGGCTGCACTGCATTCTGCTGTAAGAAATGTCTGTCTTCCATTTTAGTTTTAGGTACAGGGCTGTGGGATGCTGGAAAACACACTGCAACTAGGAAATGTCATGTCACACTGTTATGGTGGATGTTCATTCATCTTGGTGAAATTAGGAATATACAAGAGGAATAGTTTCACTACTCCTGTTTGACAGAGGGACCCGTTTGGCTGAGAGCAAAAGTTTACTGGAGTCAAATTGATGAGATGGTTTTATCATTGTGTTCCAGAATGTGACTCTAAGAGACCCTTACAGCACCTTACAAAAGAATGTTGTTAACAGGACAGCAATGGCTTCATGCTCCATTGGTTTTTGAAGACTGCGTGCTTATGAACAGCTTATTGAAAGCTGAGATAATGTCCAGGCTTTCCCTGTTGCACACACAGTGCTGTAACCACCAGGTGCTGTGTGCTCTGCCTGAGCTGACAGTGCAGAGTCCTCCTTCCCTCCAGCTGCAGCTTGTGAAGTCAGTTATCAGTGGTTGTCTTTCTCCATCACTGGGCTCACAGGAGGTTTGGGTACCTTGCAATCCTACCTCATTATAGTCTTAACCACATTATTCCTGTGTTTGGAATCCTTATGATAAAAGATTCATAAATATATTTAAAATACACTGACAATTTGCTGCATAATCTGAAACATTCCCTGCTTAAGTGCAAGGATGAAAGTAAATGATTAATCATCACATGTGGCTTAAAATAGTGTTGTGCTGTGCAGGTTTTAGTGATAAGACCCGAGACCTGAATTATTTTTGTTTTGTTATTTGGATGGCAGCAGCCATCCTGTTAGCTCTCCAGTCGTGTGTGTCCCTTCCTGGAGCACTCCAGCTTCTATATTTGGTTTCAGCAGTGCCTGATAGGAAAACCAGAGTGTCGGGTGACTACAGCAGCTCTTTCTGTTTGATTTGATGCAGTGGAGGAGCTGCAAAGCATTGAGATCTTCATGGTGGTGCTGAGCTCTGCCTTCTCCCAGTTAACCTGGTGTGAACTATGGCATGGTGTGCTGCAGTGTGAGCTGTGGGACTCTGGAGGAGCCGTGGAGCTCAGAGGAGAAGTGAATGGCAAAATGGAGGAATGCCTCCTGATGTTGGCTGGCTCTTGCTCCACCTGGTTTACTACCATCGTTGCAGTCAATTTATTGTACTTGCCTTTGAGGTGCAGCAGTTTCTTCCCTACTTTATGATTTTTATGTATTACAGCTGTAATTCCATGATCTGTCCTAACCTTGTGGTCGCAGGAAGGGAAGTTTGTCCAAGAGAAATCCAGCATACAGAGCATCACCTCTGAGTGCAGTGCTGCAGGGCAAACCCTTCAGGCTGTGACCATGGATATCTTCCAGCTGATAGACAGGGGGAAATGTGTGCCACTGCAAGGAAGGAGGCATTCACCTCTAATTGCAATTCATACTGTCAGTGCTGGTTAGCCAGGCACATCAGTGGAAAAACAGAAGCTGAAAGCTGCCTAAGTGTAAAGGGTAACTTATAAAATGACAAAAGCTAAATTAAAAAGCATTAAGCATTGAAGAAATGTGTTCTTAAGTATTATTTTAAGGTGTCCCAGACACCAAATTTCTGTACTTCTTCAATAGTTGGAGTGTTTTGGGTGATTTCCAACCAGAGATAAATGTTAGCAAGAGTTGATTACAGCCCTGACAACCTTGGTTCTGTTCGGTGCTTTGCTCCATCCCAGCTATATTCTTGTTGGACACAGCAGAACCTGAGAAGTTGCTGCCCATAGGGATATGTTGGGTGCTGACCCTTCTGCCCTTGTAAGAGCTTAAAATTTAGAAGTGGAGCAGATGTTCCTTTTTACTTATCCTGCACTGAGGTGCATCCTGCATTTCTCCTGCATGCCCTCATCTCTGCTCCACATCACAGCCAGGATGTAAGTAACCACTTATGTAGAACTGTTATTTCTGTCACTGAAAGGGAGGTTTCCATTTTCTCCAGCACTTGCTCTCTCTCAACTCTTGTCACATAGATGTCTCAGGATCCCAGCAGAGCTGTCTGTGGAGCCCTGGTTAAGCAGCCCCCGTGGTTGCCACTGGAGATGTCAGCCAAAGGCTCTGGAAGAAGAAACCAGGCTGTTGTGTCAGGAAAGCACAGACAGAAAGCCAGGACAGGGCCCATGAAAGATATTTCCAAAATACACAGCTACTGTTACTCTGGAACTGCCCACCCCTGTTGGAGGGAGGCAGTCTTTGCTCTGGTAAGAGTGCTGTCTGATATCTGCAGGAGATGCTTCTCATCTGCCATTAAAACAGAAGCCTGGCATCTAGGCAGACTGCAAGGTGCTGGTGGTGGGATAGGAATCATCCTTCCACATAGGGACCCAGAAGCTTCACTTGAAGAGCAACAAGCTCTCTAGCCTCAATTCAGAGCCTTAGCTCTTCAGCTCCTAGCTGCAGTGTTCCTCTGGGAAGAGTTGAGGGTGCCAAATTGAAGCATGTACAGCAGAGCTCTGGTGGGGTTTTCTCCTTGGGCACCTTCCAAAGCTTCTGGATGTGGTCTGGGCCCCATCTCTGGGTATCTGTGCTGGGATAAGTGGGTCCAGGTGGACCCAGAGGTGCCTCCAGCCTCAGCCATGCTGTGGTTTTGTGCTGGTCCAGCAGAATACCTAGCTCTGGGGCTTTTGTCCCTCATGCCAGACACACAGAATGTTCTTGCAGACCATCTCAGCTGGAGGCTCAGGTCTGAGGCACCAGGAAAGCAAGTTTTTCTTAAGTCTTGTTTCAGAATTGGATAGTGTTCCTTCTCCTAAACAAATGAAGCTAAGGAATGCCAACATTATGACTGCATGATAGGTCTTGGTTTAGTCTCTTTCATGCATGCATTTGCATGATTATGAAAGGCATAACATAGGCTTCTTTCCCTGTTCCTGTATTTCTGCTTAAAGTGTGGTGAGTGCTCTGAGATCTGTGATCATCAGAATATCTTCAGCACGGAGAGGTCCCCCAGTGCTCTTGTAGTCACACTTTATGCATCCTCCCTCCCACGGCATTTATAGCAGATAGATTGTAATACTTGAGCACATCTGCTAGTCCTGCCCAGTCCAGCATCTTTGCAGAGCCGCTTGAGAGCGTGAACTCACCAGGAGAAGGAAGAAAACCAAACACAACAGAACTTTGACAGTTGAGCCTTTCCTATGGTACAGCACCGAAACTTGTACCACAGATACCAAAGAGGGAGCACTACTCAGCTTGTGCTGATAGCTGCAGTCCAAACCCTTGCTTGGCTTTGGTTCCATCAAAGCTGTGCCAGAGGAGGCTCAGTGCTGTGCTCTGAGAGCAGGAAGCTGCCTTTCCATTCAGGTTTCCCAGCAATGAGATATGAGTACAAGCATAGAAACCAACGAGAGCTCACCCCCAAGGAACAGAGCTTGTTGATTTTTGTCTTGCCTGTGTTTAATAAACGTGTGAAGGACTTGGCTAGGCCATTCTTCTCATGTGTTATCCTGTTTATTAGGTAGGTTACATACCACACTTTGCTGCTATTTTACCCTGCAATATCTCAAGAAACTTCTGAGGTCACCTCGAAGATCAGCCTTGCAGGATGTTCCTATAGGTAATGCTGCAAAGCCTTGTGCTGTCTTGGACTCCAGGCAGCTCTGGATCTCAGCAGCACTGCTCTGCATCCCCTGCTGAAATGTACTGCATGGTGGTGAAGCAAGAGAACAACTTGCAAGCCACGTAGACTGGAAGAAGATTGCTCAGAGGACCCAGTCTCGTGTCCTCAACCTCTTTTGGTCTCTTGGGTTCTGGGATTTCAGGAAGTGAAGTGTGGAAGATAGCGAAAAATACCTGGTCCAGAAGGAAACAAAAAATGTTTTTTTCTGCTTTGGTTCTGCATGAAGTATTTGAGTAAGAAACAAACTGATGACCTTAAGCACAACACTGATGGGGTTTCTCAGACATTTGTGTCTACAGCTCTGTCAGGATACAGATGCTGTCGCTTTGGTTTCTGTGTTAGGCACTGGTTTTCGTTTATGTTCAAGGTTACAGATTCAGTGACATTGAGCTCTCCTGTGTTGCAGGATCTGTGGATTCCTTACTTCACGATCACAACTGACATCACTGCCTCAGCAATGAGGGTCCACACTGACGGTAAGTGTGCAGGCAGCTGCTCCTGCTGCAGTGTGTGGGAATGATGTGGCACTTCAGCATCACCCCTTGCCCCTGCAACTCTCTGCCCCTTTACATTTTTCTTTCCTTTTGTTTCTCCCTCCTCTGTTACTTGCTGAGCACCAAACTGTGGTTGTACACATAACAAGGAACAGAGCTGTGGGGAAGAAATTAACTGAGATGCTGAATTCACTGTTTAGAGAGCAAATGGGTCCACTGGTGCCGTTCTGTGTCCTTAAAACATTCTGCAAAGTGCAGGTGTATTAACAATAAATCAGAATGAATGCAACCAAAGCAATTTAAGATTCAAATTCTACATAAATGAAGATGTATTCCCAATAAAGAGACCTCCAGTGCCTGAAGCAGAAGCTGGGTTAGGCTGTCATTTGTGTCCAGTCCTCTTTATTTCTCTGGTGGAAAATTAATTCAGTTTACAGTGACTAACCAGAGGAGAAAGATCTGAGCTGTCTACACTGCTGTCGGGGTATGGTGGCAGCCCTGTGGGATATTTGCTTTAGCTTTTGTCTGGCTATTTAAGGTAATGGTGCAGTGAATCAGGCATCAGTGAAGATGCTTCAAGCCTTCCAGGTGCCCCAGATATTTCTGTGGGTAGAGGAGAGGTCTCTGCTGCCATGTCTGTGATGTTCTATCTTTTGTGCTGGCTGTCCCTTCCTGCAACCCAGATGTGGGCTACAGAGCCATGAAACCACACTGAACCCTGGGGCATTGGCAGTGTAGGACAACCGAGGGGGGCTAAGAGGGGATAACCCAAGGGGGCCAAGCACACAGGAGGGGGTTTACCTTTCATAGAGGTTATTTTCCAGTTCCACAGCAGGTTAGGCCAATGAAATTCCAACTCACCTAAAGCTGCTGCTGATAAGACACAAGGCTGACAGTATTGACCTGTGCTAAGCAGTAGGAGTGCTTAGGTTATAATTAGAGCAAGAACCATTATATATTTTAAAAAAGCAAAAAGTCAATTGCTGGTTTGCTGGGAAGAGTTGTTTGTTTGAAACACTGAGTAGTTAATTACTGAGAAGTGAGCCAACACTGCAGTTCTTGTTTATTTTTGATATTTTAAAGCTTCGGTTCTCAGACACGACTCAAGCATCCTTGGAAATGCAGCATCATCCAAATTCAGCTGTTGCAAATGTTACAAAGAGAAATCAGTAAATAAGAGCCTTAACGCAGAATGTCTTACAGGAAACAGAGCCAATCAATTTCTACTTGATTAAGCTTTGTTTATAACAGCTTAAAAGATGTCAACTTTCTTCTTTACAGCACTGTTAACAGAAATGTGCTCAGCAAAGATAAGATCTGTACCTGCTGCCAATACGTGGTGGTGAAGTGGAGATGTTTGCTTCTTGCAGAGCAGGGGAAGCAGAATTCCTGGGCTTCTGCAGTCCGTATTTTTTATGTTCAGCTGCTGCTGAAAGCCTGTTTTCTGCGTATCTTTGTGGAACATAATGGCTTTAGCTGCACTTCAATCTACTTATTCTTCCTATTCCTTTCTCCCCAGGAGAAGCCCTTTCCTTCCCTTATCAGTGTAAGCTCAGCAAAGCACTAAAGATGATCCCTGCAATCAGGCATATGCTGACATCTCCTTACAGGGCATGAATACGAGACATGTCCTTAAAACCCTGTTTCCTAAGGCTTTTGCCTGACTGTGGGTCCAAATGGCCTTTTTGATTTATTTTTTTTTTCCTAGCCAGTATTACGGTATAGAAAATAATAAACTGCTTTAATCACATCCTAATAGTATTCTCAGGAGCCCCTCCATCTCCTGATGCTTTTAGTGAGTGCCAACGCCTGCCCCAGCTCTGGCAGCACTTGAATGCTGTTGCTGCTCCGTTTCTCTCCTGCAGGCTCTCTGTGGAGGTACATCCGTGCCAGCATGTCTCTCTCTGGGTACATGCCCCCACTCTGCGACCCGAAGGATGGGCACCTCCTGATGGATGGAGGTTATGTCAACAACCTTCCTGGTAAGTGCCCACATGGGGTGTGGGGAGGCTGCTGAGAACACATCACAGTCTGCAGGACTGTTTCCTCGTGATTGCTTTCCAAAAAAGGCAGCAAGGATCAACATTGCAGCCACCTTTAATCTCATGGTGGTTACCAGCAGTCACTGTTCACTTTCCTAGGTGTTTGTGTTACTGTGGCTTTATTAAGGCTGTTCCTTATTATGGGCTATTTCCTGATACTCGTATTCCAAAAACATAATTCCAAGCTCATTTTGAATTTATTATAGTGCTCACTGCAAGGACAGAGCAGAAATGCACTGCAAGCACGTAGTCCTTGTTTCTTTTCAAAAAGTATCACATGAATAGCAAATGATTCTGAGAAAGCAAGAGTGTTAATTGTTCATTATTCAGCCTGGTGACTGTATTAGCAGACCATGCTGCATCAGAGCACTCGCTGGAGGACTGTTGGAAGTAAATGGTTGTTGGTATTGAAAGCAGCCAAGTAACATTATTTTTTCTTTATTGTCCAGCTGTGAGTTTTAACTGTAATGTAGCCATAGAATTGAAAGAGCTTTTCAGTGGCTTTGTTAAATCAAATGCCAGTGTGTGTCCTGGAGGAGCTGGCGGGATGTTTGAGCTGAGGGGGCAGCGTGGGGCTCCTGTGCCAGGTGTCAGCTTTGTCCTCCCTGCCAGAGGGGATGGGGGTGGTGGCTGAGCTGTGCGCCCAGAGCCTGAGAGGTTTTGCTGGTCTTGGTTAGGTGGAATCATCAAGGTTGGAAAAGACCTTCAAGATCATCAAGTCCAGCCTTCAGTCCATCCCCACCATGCCTACTGTCCCATGTCCCTCAGTGCCACATCCATCTTTTTCATGAACGCTTCCAGGGACAGTGACTCCACCACTCCTGGGCAGTTGTGCCAGTGCCTGACTGCTCTTTATGAGAAGAAATGTTTCCTAACACCCAACCTGAGCCTCCCCTAGCACAACATGAGGCCATCATCTCTCGTCCAATTACCTGGGAGCAGACGCTGACCCCACCTCTCCACAACCTCCTTTCAGGAGCTTAGAGAGCACTGAGCTCTCCCCTGAGCTCCCCTTCCCCACACTGACCCATCCCAGCTCCCTCAGCCGCTCCCCATCACACTTGTGCTGCAGACCCCTCCCAGCTCCATGCCCATCTCTGGACACGCTGCAGGGCCTCCATGCCTGCACTGCAGTGAGGGCCCAGCACTGAGCTCAGCACTGAGCTGCGGCCCCACAGTGCCGCACAGAGGGACGATCCCCTCCTGCTCCTGCTGGCTGCACTGCTGCTGACACCAGGCAGGATGCCGTGGGCCTTCTTGGCCACCTGGGCACACTGCTGGCTCATCTGCTGCCGGCTGGCAGCTCACACCACAGAGCCTTTTCCTCCGTGCAGCTTGCCAGCCACTCTGCCCCAGACCTTTAGTGCTGCATGGGGCTGTTGTGACCAAAGTGCAGCACTCAGCATCTGCTTATTGAAGCTCATACAACTGCATTATTCTGCTCCCCATCTCTGCCTTTCAGTTCAGGGGAGTGAGTGCCCTGAGGATGGGTAGCTGCTGGCATGGGGTAGAGGTAGAATTGGGGTGTAGGAAGGCTGATGTGGAGCCAGAGCGGAACCCAAAATGGACCAAGTTGTGTGAATTCACTTGTGCTCATTTGGGATGTGCTTTATGGCAGGGCTGCTGTCGTGGTCAGGAAGCACTGGAAGGTATGTGAGTCATGAAGGTGACCGTGACAGGAGAGATGTGTGGTGGTGTTGCATTTTGTGTACAGATCAGAGGAGATCCAAGTTAGAGACTGCATCTGAGCATCCTAAGTCTTTTAGGTGTTCAAGACAAACCCAAACTATATTTTCTGATCGGGGCAGTGTTTGCTTAACTAAACAGAAATAGAAATAACACAGAGTAGACCCCCACAATTTTCCATTGACTTTGCTGCGTGTGACTGTGTAAGCAAAAGCATGAATTGCAAATTGAGATGCTGTTTCCACCTGTACTTATTGGAAAGTGCACAAAGTGTATATGCAAGTGACACAAAGAGGAAAAGATACAATAGACTGAACCAACCCAGTAATATAAATCCAAGTTACAGAACAGATCTGATTTAAATACGTATCTAAATTAAGCATATAAATTGGCTCTTCAAAGCTGTGGTTTTCCTACGCATAACTATTCTCGAAATTGCAACTATCTTGGACTCTGGGGGCGTGGAGGAAATATAAATGCATTCTGTGAGGTGTGTGTCCTTCTCTCCCCTCCTTTGGCACTTTCCTAAATTCTCGCCCATATCCAAAGGCTGCAGCTAGTTCTCTTTCTACCGACCTTGAAGTGGGAGGTGTTGCCTCATTTCTCTCCCACTTCAAATATGAATCTTCCTCCCAGATCCAAAGCTTTTTGCAGACTGAAATCCTCCCAGACTCTCCTTGCTGTCTGCTTCCTTTGCCGCTCCTTTTCTTCATTGTCTTCTCTCTGCAGGGTTGCACCTCTGCACTGCTGACTCCTCTTTGTGGCCATCACCACTTGTTCTCCCTCCGGGTCCCCCAGGTCTTTGTTTCATGGAACACTTTCATGTTGCCCCCAGTTGCACCAGACCAGCTGTTTGTGCTGTGCTTCTCTTCTCCCTGCTTGCAGGTTTGCTGATGCCTTCACACGGGTTCTGGTGCCAGAATGGTGCCAGAGTGAGTCGGGTCAGCCTGCCCCCCTGGGGAAAGCTTCCCCCATTGATGGGGTTCACCAGGAGTTCAGCAGTGTGGCCTCACCCTGCAGTTAAGTGGGGGCTGTGTGCTGCACGCTGGGATCTCACAGTCGGAATGGAGCAGGTGGGGTAGCAGAGTAGCTGTGGAAATGGTGTTGTGACAGGTGTGCTGCAGACATTCACATCTGGTGCTGCTCAAAGAGATGCTCCCGGTGTGCACGATGTCAGGTTCTGTCGTCTTGAGCAGCACGTACATAAGCTGTGTCTGTGCAGCACTGGAGTTGACATCGCTGTTGGAAGTGTACTGAGGTGACCTTTTTTCCCCACTAGCTGATGTGGCGAGGTCCATGGGTGCGAAGGTGGTGATAGCCATCGATGTGGGGAGCCGGGATGAGACCAACCTCACCAACTATGGCGACTGCTTGTCTGGCTGGTGGCTGCTCTGGAAGAGGTGGAATCCACTGGCTGAGAAAGTCAAGGTACCACAGCTGCACTGCAATATCACCTAGTTTTATTGCAGAGCAGGAAGCTTATTCTTGATTATTCAGGAACAGATCAGATCGTTTCTTGAATTTGAGCACGTGCTTGTGGATGAAGCAGGACAGGCAGTGCTGTGACACTGAGGAAAATGGGCCGTCACAGAAGAGGGGTAGAGCTCCAACTGGGCAGGGGAGTGTGGGCTGCAGAGGTGGTGGATTTGTGAGAGCACAGAGGCCTTTCCTGATAGTGGTTAGTTTTGATAAACTCAGAATTTACAGGCTTTACTGACAAAGTAATAACTTTGTCCAGTTCAGTGTTTGTATCCTAACATCTCTGAGCTGCTGACTAAGGAGGTTTTTAGCAGTAGGCACTAATTAACATTACAATTACTTTCATATATACACACTGGGCTGCAGAGTATGATTTTTTTTTCTAGCTGCATGCAGTCAGGCCAGCTCTGTTGTATATCCTGCATTTCCTAAATTATCTGGCTTTGCAGTGCTCCCCCAAGGGAATGTTGTTTTTTTTTTTCTTCTCCTAACTGCAGTTAACATGTTGCCTTGTGGCAATTGGAATTAAAATACTTGCTTCCCAAAGTCAGGGAAAATATTACAAACTGTGAGTGCTGCTCTGTAATCTCAAGCTTTTCCTCTGATTACTCTCTTCCCTCTCATCTCCCTGAGAAGCAGCCTGGCTTCCCTTCTGGAGGCAGTGCAGCTGAGTGCCCTGCTTTGTCTCTGCAGAGCTGACCATGCTGCTTCCAGTGGGAGTGTTGGCTGCTGAAATAAAAGACCTTGGCTCCCCTTAGTAGTGCCCAGTGAAATGTTACGAGTCTCCTTTCCTTAAATCTGTGGAACACTGGAGCAGGTTGTCCAGAGGGGCTGTGGAGAAGTCTCCACTTGTGCAGCTGCACCAAAACCCAGCTGATGTGGTCCTGCTCAGCTGCCCCTGCCTGAGCAGGGGGTTGGACCTGGCAGTATTGAGAGGTCTGTCAAGCTCAGCGAGTCTGTGGTTCTGTGAAATCTCTGCCCTGGTTCGTAGAGGTCTGCTGTGAAGGACCACTGGGCCCCTCTCACATCTTTCTGAAGTTACCACCCCTGTCTGGAAATGGAAGATTCTATTCAATCTTGCATTGCAGAAGGCAGTCCTCTTTCTGCTCTTGGCCGTGGGCACTCCTTCCAACTGCTTGGGCAGCAGAGGGGCTGATGTTTGAAGCACTTCTGCGTGCTTTCGGACCAAGTCTGATAGATAACTTGGCGAATACAGAAGGAGTTCTGAAATTTCCGAATTAATCACGCTGCTGTGTGTGTGTGTGTGTGTGTGTCTGTCTGTCCGTCTGTCCGTCCTGGTTGGCAGGTGCCAAACCTGGCAGAGATCCAAACACGGCTCGCGTACGTGTGCTGCGTGCGGCAGCTGGAGATGGTGAAGAGCAGCGACTACTGCGAGTACATCCGGCCCCCCATCGACCGCTACGGCACGCTGGATTTCGGGAAGTTTGATGAAATCTGTGTAAGTGCTCCTTGGTGAAGGCAGCTCCCCCAGCCCTGACATCCTGCAGGAGTCTACGGCTAATTAGTACCTAAGCAGCGTGAGAGTAAGAGAATTCAGTTGGCACCGAGTGAGTAATTGACACTAAATAATACCGTGGAATGATATCATGACTGTGAGATTGGATTACCAGCAGAAATTGAGTTAGTAATTGTGATTATATAATAAGCTGTAAGTGGATCGGTTCCCTCACCATCCTATGACGGTTCTTACTCAGCTGCTTGGTAAAACCTCCTTGGTGTCTGAGCTGCGCTGGGCAGTTGTGGTTTGTCAAATAGTGTCATTTCTCTTCCTTGATTACGGAGCTCGTTGTCACATGAAAGATTTGAAGAAGTCTGCGGGGAAGCTGTGAATCATTGAAATGGAGGGCAACATACTGAAATATCCGACTTGGCTCACATTTCAACGCTTCTATTAATAAAACATATCATCCATCTTTCCTCTACACCTGATAGCGTGTCGGGAGAGCGGCACCAATGTCAGTGGAAGGACGCAGTGGATGGGGCACTACCAGGTTACACGTCTTTGGGATTTAGTTCTGTTTGTTTACAAACTGGAGATCAGCTCGGGAAGAACCAACTCCAGATGTGCAATTGAAGTGTCTTAGTGACAGAATCCAGCATTGCAAACCAAAACATTTTTGCCTGATTTGAGGGAATGATAGCAATTTCAGCTCATTATCTCTTGTCAAGAAAGTTATTTTACTGTCTTTCTCCTTTCTTTGCTTCAGCTGTGCAAGTATTTTCCACATTCAGGTGTTTCTGCGTAGCTTTGCTCTTCTAGTCTGGGGAAAAAGAAAAAGACAAGACACCCATTTTTGTTTAAGTAGATCTGTTTCATGGATGTGCTGAGAAACCACAATGCTCATTAAGCTGCAGGTTGCTTTCCCAGCATTGTTTCCTAATACTGCCTTATAAATACTAAGTAAAATGGGTAATGCAATTAAGCCCCGCAGATTTGCATTTAAGAGTGTCCTTAGGACCAAAGAGAGCAGCTATTGAAAGCCATGGGCTGATTCTCCAGTATCACCATTTTCCCAAGGCTGTTTGATGTCCCAGCTCTGGGGTGAGAGCTTGGTCTGCCAGTGGGGGACATAAGACTTCCCTGATTCCACTGTGCTCTTCTCTCAATGGATGCTCCTGGCCCCTCAAAAACCCTGACAGGCAGACAGGTGTGATGCATCACCACAGTAACAGTAAGCTGCCAAACCCTTGTTCGCTCTCTGTCTAATTTGACGGCGTTACGGGGAGTTGAAGACACCAGGCAATTCTTTTTCAGTGGAATAAAAGCTTGAGGAAAGTGCAGTTTGTCAGAGGTGTCAGTTTCTGTGAGCGAGTTCTTGGCACACGGTGCTGCAGGTGTGGGGAGGACAGCACCTCCTGGGTTTTGTTTCGTGCACTGCAGCAAAGAAAGCTTTGGCTCTGGGGGAGATTTAAGCTGTGCTGACCTTTCAGAGCATCCTGGGCATTCCCTTATTGCTGCAGGCTGTGAAGCAGTGGGTTGGTGGTTTTGTTGATTTTAATTTCAGCTGTGTACCTGGGTTTTACAGAAAATAGAAACGAGCAACACGTGGCTGCAATTCAGCTTGTTCAAAGGAACAAAAATCCCTTCTTCTTTAGGAGCAAAATCCCTGTTCTGTATCTGCCTGTAGCAATCAGGCTGCACATCACTTCCCAAAGCTCAGGGTCTTTGGGACACTTGGCTGCCATAGATCTGTCAGGCCCTTCTCCTGGGCAGTCGCATCCAGCCTTGGCTGAGAAGCCACAATTGGTCGAAGGTAAATTCCACCCAAGTTCTTGCCCTGCTTTGAATCCTGTTCAAAAAACAGATGGGAAACAATAGCAGCTGGGCCAGGGCTGCTTCCAGCACTGCATGGCACAGTGCTGCCAGAGCTGGAAATAGAATCCAGGGCTCCCAACACCTGTTGCTCTGTCCTTTCAAGTTCATTCTTAAACACAGTTTCTATTGTTTGATTGGAAAAAAAAAAAAAAGAAGAAGAAGAGTAAAACTTGGAGTAATTGGCTTGTTTTTCCAATTGTTTTCTTGCTAGTGACAATGCCATGTTACTGTCCCAAGTGCCAGCTCCTTCAGACTTTTGAAGTAGTGCAACATGGAGTGTGTGGCTTTGCTGTTGTGCACGTGGCATTGTAGCTGCTCCACAAGCCAGCTCTTGTATGCTTGGTGCTGTCTGGCGTAGCTCACCAAGGAGTGCTTGGCACCAGGTACCCCACAGGGACTTTTCTTTGCTAGACTTGATCCAAGAGGTGAAAAAGCACAAAGTAAGTGTTGGCGGAGCGCTGTGCTTGAGGGATGTATGCATATATGTGCTGAGATGCTTGATGTTGCTGCTGTGAAAAATTGCTGTCAGGTGGCACATCATTCCATCCTGTGTGGGGAAATCAATGGTCCATTGGCTTCTAGAATTAAAATAGCACTTTGCTTAATTGAGCCCACTGATTGTTGGGCTGAGTAGTCTTCACAGATAAAGGCTGGAAAGCACCAAAAATTGGATGCAGCCTTTAGGGCAGACCTGTGGATTTCCAGCAGTTATGTGGATGTGACATCATATTTGTGGGTTTGGGTTTTTTTTTGCCTACAACTTTTTTTTTCGCCTTTTTTCACCTCTTGATTCTTCTTTTTTCCCAGGAAGTGGGATATCAGCATGGGAAAACTGTATTTGGTGTCTGGTCCAGGAGCGACGTCCTCGACAAGATGCTACGAGACAGACAAGAGACTTACAAAACCAAAACTTCTGATGTGAGTGTTCCGTTTAATTGCACTGCTCTGCAAGAGCTACTTGATGCCACCAGAAACTGATCAGGGAGATGAAGGAGAATGATTGCCTCAAGTGTTGTTTTTTTTTGTTGAGTGAGTGTGCACATATGAGTTAAAAAGTATTTCAGGCAGGAAGAGATGTAATCAGTTTTTCAGAATCTTCTTTCCTGGAGCCATAGTGTGGAGAATGAGGTCCTGCACTTCTTGCACCATCAGCTCTAAGTGTGACCAGAGTGTGCTCCACCTGAGTCCCAGTGGTTTTGAAGGTGCATTTACAAAGGAATACGTCTAAACAGCAGTCTCCATCCCTGTTTTCTCATGCAGACAACGACCCCTGTCCTCACTAAGCACAGCACTGTCTCTGAGGTTCCAAGAACAGATGTAGCCCTCTGTAGGTCAGCTCTTCTCTTGCTGTCTTGTTCTAGTAAATCACTGATGCTTTCTTTGTAACCCAGAAGTATCCACAACACAAAATGCTGGAAGGAAGGCAGGATGCTCACCCCATAACCAGCACCTTCTGTGACACACAGCTCTGTACGTGGATATGTCCACCTCCTCTTCCCCCTTCTGGTGTGGGTTGGCAGCCTGCAGGCACCAAACGCTGCTGGAGGAGTTGCTTCCTGCCCTGGGTGTTGCAGTGGAAGGGGTGACTGTGCCCCAGCAGGGGCTGGGGCAGAAGGATGGTCTGTGCATGGCCACGTTGTACCCATTGCATGGATGCACATCTCAGAGTCATGATGACTAGGCACACGTAACCCCTTAAGAATCACTTTTTTGTGACACTTCTTGTGTAACACTTCTTGTTAGCAAACTTCAGGTTGTGCCTGGGTATTGTTCTTGCTACTGGAAACTGCCCTGCTGAGGCAGCAGCCTTCCCACCAGCTGTTCAGTGCTGGATGCAGAGGATGTGAATTGGGATCACTGGTGTTGATTTCAGGCATTGCTCTTGGGTTTGTAATTCCAGGATTGAATTCTGCCTCTAGAGCTGGTGCAGTAACTGTGGGCTGCCTGAATTTCCAGTTTTCAAGAAACTGTTACCAGTTTTTTGAGGACTTGGGAACTATATTATAATATATTGGCTTATTATCCTCACTTCCTTTGAATTCCTCTGATTTAAAACCCAAGTTCTACAAAGGCTTCATGTTTTACCCAGTAATTCTTCTTTATTGTCTTTTAGAGATAGGGAAATTAGCAGTAGTATCTTAAGTGATTGCCAAAATGCATTATAACTGTAGTAAGCTTCAGCAAGGAGAGTCAATAGAGGTGAAAAACGACATTTAGAGTTTGCAGCTCTTCCAGAGATCAGCAGCTGAGCACTTCAGCTGGGAGAGAAGTGGTGTGAGCAAGGGGAGAGGAAGGGTAAGCCTTGAAGCGATGGGCATTAGCCTAACAACAAGAGGCAGAGCTCAATTTTTCAGACACCCACATCTGGCTTGTTGCCTTTAGATCCCCATTTGTCACCCGAGAGGGACATGTGTTTGTAGGGTGTGTGAGTCACTTGCTGAAATGAAAATGGCTCTGCTGGGATAGTGAATGGCACCCTCAGCTCTGCCCCTGCGAAGGAAGCCAAGTGATGGGGGGTGAGTGCTGCTGCCTGCTGCCATCAGGTTAATCCCACCCAGGCTGATGGGCAGGGTGGTGGCTGAGGGTGAGCACAAAGGAGCTGAGGTTTGAGAGAAATGAGCTGCTGATCAGAGTAGCCTGAGGAATACCAGAGATGCCTTCACTGGGAGGATGAGCTGGGCTGGGAGGTGTGTTGGCATGAGCTGTGCAGGAGGGATCTCCAGTCTGCCTCTTAGCCTGTGTTCAGCTGGGCACGTGCTGCTGTGTGTGTGAGTAGGCAGAAGGAGAAGTCAGGGGAGAGAAAACCGTGCGTGTCCATCAGAAATGGTTGTGTCCTATTTCATGCTCTGACTTTTATCACCAGCTGGTAACAAGCTTGAGCATCTTCACTGCTGTTAACAAATGTACCTTTCCAAGGCTTCTTCAAAAATTGCCCGTGAGATGGGATGCAATCATTCAGGCTAATATTTCAGTCAAGTTACAGTATTACAGCTGTGCATCATGCAGGATTTTGTACATTTATCATCATCTCCCCTGTTGTTCTTTATGGCACTTTCACTGCCAAGTAGGTCATGCAGTGCTTGTAGACAGAGCTTGGCATTGCGTTTCCGTGTGAGCATTTTGTAACGAGGCAGGAAATGCTGATTGCTGGGGCACCAAAATGGTGTAAATACAGACGTGAGGATGGCTGACCAACAGGCTGTCAGCTCAGCGTGCTCCCCAGGCCTGGTGCTGAGCTCTGGGCTGAGTTCTGAGCACCTCGAAAGCCGTCTGCCTCTCCTGCAGTCAGAGACTTTTTAATCTGACTTTTGTTTTAATAGATTAATTTCTACGAAATAACAAGTATTGAAGGCTCCCACTGGGGTGCTTTGCTTTTTTTCCTTAGTCCTTTAGAGTCACTTGAGTCCTTTATCTCTGCTGTCTTCCAGGGATAACAGCTGATATTTTTAACTTGCTTTCATTAGCAAAGGTTTTGATCTATGTTTTACTTCTTCAGCTATTTCGGGAGCATTCAGCATCTCGGAGCGTTGGGCTCGGTTGCTTTTCATCTTGATTCCATGTTGCAAGCATTGAATTTTTACTTAATCACTGGATATTTAAGCATTTAGATACTTCTGGCTTTCATCATTCAATTCCTATTTATCTCTCCTTAAAATGCAAATACCGAAGTCGTGAACAACAGCAGCCTTACGTAAAGTTCATGTGAACAGCCCCAATTCTTCCCAGTGCAGAGCAGTGCAGCACCACTAATTGGGTCTCTTCGGGGAAGTTTTGTCTACTGAAATGTTATTCATAGTCAAAGCTAAATATACTCCTGCAGACTACAATAGTAACTGTCTCTCTGCTCTCACTTATTTAATAAAGATTATGCTGAAGAGAATACTTTCTCCCTTCGTGGAGAAAATACTCTCGGGGAAGTTGGAGAGCAGGATTCGAATGAACTGAGGTGCTTCTTTTCCTTGCATTAGTGAGCTTGTCCTTAGAAGTGTTGGGGGAAGTCGTTAAACATTGCATTCCAGTTTGCAAAGCATCAGATGAGCATGGACAGTCACCTGGTTTCCCACCAGCACAGTTCCAGTCTGCATGCAAGACCTTTGGGCTCAGTTTGTTGGTGTGGTGAGTCCTCATCTCAGAGTGCAGGTGATTGCTTTGTGTGCTCTGTGGGCACTAAATGAGGATATGGATGCTTTTTTCTCTCTCATCTTGGGGAATGACTGTCTGCAGACTTTATGCTGGGACCATTCAGGTCGCATATTCATGGCAAAGCAGGGCTGACTCACCCTTCTGCTGGCTCCTTAATGGTCAGACCTTATTCTGAGCGTCTGTACTTCTTTGTATTTTAAAAAGAGTGTCCTAAGCTACCACTGTTTCATTTCATGCTGCTGTTCTTTAATTCCGTTTGGGCCTTTCTCTGTCCACTGCAGCCAGCAGCTGTTTGTCCCGGATCCGCACCCTGCTTTGGCTGTACTCAATCACATCAGAAGTTGCTTACGGATTAGAGGTCAACTGAGAGCAATCTGCTGCAGCTGTAATGGGCTTCTGCTGTGACCCTGCGGGGGCTGTGTGATTCACAGTGCCGATGCTTTTGCCAGAAAAGCAAAGAATTGCTCACAAAAACGCGGTGTGAGGGAGCTGCTCGAGCTGGAAGCACGTGGGCAGTCCCTCACAGAGACTCCTGGCAGCCCAGTGCCCATTGTGAGCCTCCTGCCAGCTCCTCACCACTGCTCTCCTCTGGGGCAGGCTGCTGTTGTGCTAATGGAAGAGATTGGTTTTGAAGATAGGCAAAGCTGTTTGGGTTTCCACCTGGTCACCTTGTGCCCGTCCCAAGGATGTGGGAAGGCCAGAATGGTCCTGAAATGCCTAACCTGGGTCTTAAAAAAAGAGAAACTAGAGCAGACAGCTCTTTGAAATAGAGAATGCTCACCCCTCTGCTTGGGTGAGACAGTGAAAATAGAAAGGGTTTATTGCAAAGAGGAATTACAGTGCAGAGCATTCCCCTTGCAGGTGGACATCTTACCTTGGGCTCCTGCTCACTGCAGCACCTCCAGCCCCTGCATTGCCCTGAGTATTGGGCTCTCCTGCCAGCTCCTGGTTCCTCCATCCTGAGCTTTGCTTGCACTGCTCCCGTGGCTCTGCAAACCCTTCTCCTTCCCACCAGGCTCCTTAAGGAAGGAGAAATATGCCTGGGGGCTGCAGCTGGTAACACAGAATGGTAGTGGAGAACAACCAAGTACCAGGAGCACTGTCTGTTGCAGAGCCCAGACTTTCCAATTCTTGTCTTTGTAGCCTTTTGTATAGTTTCCTACATTTCTAATAAGGTTTCATACTGCATGGATGGAGAAGGGCTGGTTGTACCTTGTCCCCACCCCTGCTTGCCCTTGGGAAGCCCATCTGTGTCCGGTGAAATATCAATGAGTAACGAGGTGGAAATCATGGCAAATGTATGTCTGGAGCTTTGTCTGTTCAGTATCACTTATGCACGGTCTTGAATTGGATATTCTGTGGACAACTGGTAACATATCTCAACCTTAATGCTGTGTTTCAGAATGTGACCTATCCCAGCACCTCTTTCACGGATCTGGCAGAAATTGTGTCCAGGATTGAGCCAGTGAAAGCTGCCGTGGCTGATGGTGAGTCCAGAGATGTGTGGGTTCCTGGTGGATATGTCCCCTATTCCAGTTACCCTCATTTTGAGCAAAATAAAACACGTGTCAGCTTGTGCAAAGACAGGCTTCTGTTCCTCCTTGTGCTGCCTGTGTCCCCGTGCTGGCTTCACTCTTTGGTCTGTGTCCTTTAGAGAAAGGAGGAGGGCGGCTTAAAGCAAGGCTGCTTCGTGCTGCCTTGAATCAGACCCAGAGTGACTCATGGGCTCAGCTGCCATATGGACGCCCCTATTAGGGGAGCACTAATGGGCTAATGAGGAACAGATAACGGCCTTGCATTTTTACCTGGAGAGTCCTGAGTGCTTTGAGCCTCAGATGTGTACTACAGAGCACACAGAACCAGAACCCAGGGCTGACTTAACAGCATCAGGCTCCGGAGCCCAAAATCTCTGAGTGTTTCACCAGGGCTGAAGCTTTTTATAATCAGTCTCTCCCTTTCCTCCTGATACTTGTTCTTGCAGAGAAAAATCTAAAGTTAGCAGTCCTTCCATCTGTGACTGTTTGTAGAGATGTCCCCCTGGTAATTTGAAATGCTAATTGCAATCATATGCCTTACGAAGAAAATATTAATCCAATGTCTGAAGCAGGTGCTGTAAGGTTGAAGAGTTCATGTCATGTGGTTATTGAAGGCACGGCGCTGAGAGCTGCAGGGATGGGCTTCCTCTTAGAGTTGGGTTGTTGGCCCTGTTAGGAAGGTTTGCTTTTTGCTGTGTGAGGTCATTGAACGTGAGTAATGAAAAGCAGACGTGGCAAATTTTGGCCTAAATAGGGAGCTGTGCTTGGGGTATTTGGGACACAAGGGGCTGTTGCCATGTGGTCCTCACAGGTGGGATCTGTTGGTTGCAAACCCTGTAGTAGGGGGAGGATGGCATGGGGAGCTGTGCATGCATAGGACATAATGTGTTTATGTTGTGGAGGACATCATGTGCTCCCTGAAGGGACCCTGCCTGGCTTTTGGGGATGTAAGGGTGTCCCTGTGAGCATGGCACTGCCTGGTGCCCGAGGTGACAGCCTGCAGCTCAGAGGGAGAGCGGCTGCTTCCCCAGTGGCTGTGGGCAGTTCTGTGCATGTGCTGCCCTGAGCCCTGGGCTTTGCTGCTGGTGTTGGTGTGTCTGCTGCTGTCCTGTGCTTCCTGGGAGCCTGGGTGGGAACTGCCACTGGCAGAGAAGGTGGAACTGGGTTTTCTTTCTGCAATCGTAGAATGGCTTGGATTGGTTTGGATTGGATTGGACTGGGAGAAACCCTAAAGATCTCCTAGTTTCAGCCCCTTCCTGAGTGGGATCTCAGCCCTCAGTGATTCAGGCAGGCCCAGCCCATCCTGGCAGCATACAGCAGGTCTTAGGCTGGATAAAGGAATTCTGTCAACAATTCTGTTCTAAAGAAAGATAATGAAGAATAAACTTCAATGCATTTTCTTTGATGAAGACACTGCTTCAGATCTGGAGGCTCTGCTGGTCAGGGACTCTTCACCCTTATTGCTGCCACTTCCCCCCGTCTGCTGCACTTTGTGGTAATTAGAATGGAATGATGTGAAGTTTTCACCCTTAAGCAAACTGAAGAAAATGATTAAAGCAGTTTAAAAAGCAGTGGGGGAAGTAAAGGAGGTGGTCCATCAGGAGGAGGTGAGGTGGGGAAGCCACGGGAAGCCCTGCATGGGACCCAGAGGTATCCGTGCACTGCGAGCACATGGAAAAGCACACAGAGCACAGCAGCTTGTTCTCACAGCTGAGACACAGCAATACGAGTGGCTGTGTTTGTTCAGCATCACGAGGCCTCAGAGAAGCACTTACTTGATTGGGACCTTTCTGTAATTGCATTTTACGGAGCCTTGGCCAGCAGAGCGCAGGGGCTGAGCTGTGGCTGTGGTTGTGCTCCCACCTGCAGAGGTTTTCTGAGGACGGAGTCGCATGGGCTGCCAGGCATCTCCCACAGCAGCTTTCATTTCTCATTTGCTAAAGCAGTAATGCTTCAGGCCAGCCCCATGGCCACGTTTCCTGGGGTGAGGTAAGGTAGCACACACACTGCATGCAGTGACGGAATGAGAGCACGTCCTGTAACAGCAGCCTGGGAAAAATACCTGGGGAGAAAGAAACACTGCTCTTGGTTTGAAATGGTTCTGCAATACAGCTGAAACAGGAGACATCCCCAAATTTCTCAGGGAAGACAGTTATTGGACTCTAGGTTGCCCTCTGCATCTTTGCACCTTCAAAAAGTACTTCTGGCAAAAAGCAGTAATGTACCCTGCATTGGGATGAGCTACCAGACTCCCTCAGATTTACATGGAAGCTTATGTGGGTTATTGAAACAGCCACGCAGTGCTCTTTTTCTCCACATGTGGTGTGTTGCCTTCCCCCTGTGTGCGTGCTGCCCCACTGATGGCAGGTCTGGGGCCTTTACAGAGTGCAATCTCTTTGTTGGCTCTTTGAGGTCTGGACCATCACCTTTTGGTGATGGCAGCAGCTAGCTTGCTACTGACTCCTTTAAATAGAATAAATATCAGCAATTGCTTGCTGTTATGACAGCCTTGCCCGTGTCTGTCTGCTCTCTGCCTGATAGCTTCAGGTCATTTGGAACTGAAGTGTTTGGTGCATTGAAGGGCAGTGAAGCCGTGGTCCCACTGGGTGCTGCTGGGTGGTGTGAACAGGCAGAGCTGGTCAGAGTGGGAGCAGTCACCTCCTGAGCCCCAGGTTCCGTCTCAAAAGGGGCAGTGGATGATGTCCAGAGAGGGGGACCACTCCTGTCCTCAAGTGTCAGAGCCACGGTGTGAGGAGGTGGGAAGGGACAGGACCTGTCTTATTCTTCAGTCTCCATATAAAGCCCTGCTGAACGGTGTTTGGAAAATATGGATTGGGGCTTGATTCCATCAGTTTTAATGGAGCTGTAAAACCACAAGTATTGTTTGTGCTGTCTGTTGTTGTTCAGGTGAATGTCTCTTTCTCCAGTGGGTTTTTATCAAAGGTTATCAGCAGTATTTTCAGTATGAGCTCACAAGGATTCTCTGATCCACAGGAAAAAAAAAAATGGCCAAATGTCTTTCATTCTAATGATCTAGCAGTTGGTTGTGGTTGTCGTGTTAGAAGAAAATGCTGTGGAACAGACTGTGCTGTTGTCTTCAGCACGGAGCAGATGCTATTGACTGTTCCCCAAAGAAATACTTAATCAAGAATCCAGTTTAAATACGAGCCACTTGTCTCAATGCTGAGCTGAAAAAGTGAAAAAGCAGCTCAAAGCACACCTGAATTCACAGTGTGCACAAAGCTTAGTGTAAAAACTGCCATTTTAATGCATTAAATTGCCTTCTGAATAACTGAGTGCCTCAACAACTCAGTTGTGAACCTGTGCAAACGGAAGGCTGTCCTTTGCAACGTGTTTCATTTGGCTTCAGCATGGAAGCTGTTCCACAACCGCAGCACAGTATAGGAGGGGAATGAGTTGAAAAGGGGAAAGCAGCAGCAAAGGCCAACAAGGACATGTGAAAAACGGCAGCGTTTTTGGGGACAGGTCACATCATCTTGTTTTTAACTCGGGCATAGAAGCTGCTGCTCAGGTCTGAAGTAGCAGCAATGCTGCTTAAGGTCAGGTGAAGGCACTGGGCAAGTTTTTGAGCTTCCCTCAATGATGTTCAGCTGCTGGATTGCCAGAGAGAGAGGCAGTTGTGCCCTGTGGGAAGGAGGGAGTGTAAATGTCACTGTTCCCTGTGGAGCAGAGGCTGTGAGATCTGTAATTATCATCTCTGAGGTGGTAAGGGGTTGGCAACACAAAGAGCTTGTCTTGTGCTTGCAAGTCTGTGTTGCCAGTGAGTCAGTGACAGCGTGTCCAGGAGAGGCAGGGCTGGTAGCTCTGAGATGTGTCTTTGGAGGCATTCTACAGGTGTGGAGTGAGCGGGGAGAGAATAGCAAGTACCCCATGGAAAGCACTCACCAGGAAGTGGGAGCATCTCCCATTGGCTGTGCTCAGTCCCATCAGCCAGCACCCATCGGACTGGCAGAGGCAGTTTGGATCTCACTGCTCCAGGCTCTTTAGATTCTGGAGGGCTTCAGGCCATGAGCTCACATACAGGACGTGCTGAAGCATGTGCTGTGGTCTGGCTGCAGAGCTGATGGATGTTCAAGCAGTCCCAGCTCACTGAGCTGCTCAGAACTGGCCGGCAGTCACCGCGTGCTGCTCTGCTGCTCAGAGGCAGCTATCCTTCATTCCTCTTCCAGTTTCTCTGCCTCTCTGAATGCTACTTAAACCCGTGTTTTTTCTCTCCTCTCTCTTTAGATGAGTCAGACTACCAGACTGAGTACGAGGAAGAAGTTCTGGACAACCAGAAGGATGATTATATTCATTTCATACGGAACCAGGCTGAAGATGAGACTGACTCGGTACGAAGTGCCCTGGAAATAGGCTGCTGCTGCGTCTTTGTGGCATGAGCTAGAAGTGTCAGGATGACTGGGGATGCTGCTTTCTCCAGCTTGGAGGAGAGGAGGCAAAGAAGGCATCTGCTGTCTTCTGCTGTCTGTAGCTGAGTGCTACAGAGAAGGCGTCCAAGATGCTCAGGAAAAAGTCAAGAGGTGGCAGACAGGGCTTGCAGTCAGGGAAGTCTTGACTCAATGCAAGGAGTTGCACAGTAAGCACACCTGTGTATTGCAAGGGGTGTGCAGATGAGTGTGAGATGCTGAAAACTCCGTCCTTGCAGATACTCTCCTGAAAAGTAAATAAGGCTCTAAATGACCTGATCTGCATTAAAGTTAGCCCTGTGTAGAGCAGGAAATTGCACTGCCTTACACTTTAGTTATTGATGCTGTGGGAGCTCAGGACCACCCTGGAGAAAACCTGTCCTGTAGCCTCACTTCTCGTGGTGCTGCCTATAGCCCGAGCAGCAGAGTTCCCTCACAGAGATGTCTCCTTACTCCAGGTTGAGCAGCTGGCAGGTTTGAAAGCTGGAGCTGCCTGTTGTGTTGGAGTGAGAGCTTTCCAATGGGAGCTTGTGAATGGTTTGGGCAGCTGCCAGTCTGAGGATGTGAGAGAGCTGCGGTGTTGTGAGGAGGGAGCTGGAGTGATGGCGTGAAGGGTTTTGTTTGCTGGCTGATCTCTGGTGGGTAATGGACAAAAAAGAGACAGGGGAATGGAGAGCAGATTTTATCCAGCTCAGAGATGGTGCTGAAAAATGAGACTATGCTTTTTTCCTCCTTCAGGATGAAGATGTACAGATAAGAAAGCGCAAGAATCTTCCAAACGTGGACTGCCAGGCAAGCAGCACGGGAGAGCCAGCCTAGCACCGAGTGCAACAGCTGTATCTTGTGTGTATTTACATACATTAAAAGAAAAGAAAACATCTAGATGAGATTAAACAAGCTTTCGTCTTTCTCCAGGCAGGGTGTGTGGCATCCAGCTGCCAGCACTAAGCACCAGCTCTGGGCTGTGCTGGCACAGCGGCTGGTCCTTCCTCACTCTGGGTCTGGCAGAGTGGGAACACGTTGGGGACGTGCAGTCAGTGCTCCTTTGGCTGCTGCATGTTTTACTTATTGGTTTTACTGCAAGGCCCAAAGAATCATGGAATGTCGTCCTGCTGTGTCTGTTGATGAAAGGCTCCATGCAGCTGCACTGGAGAGAGGAGGGGATTTGCAGAGGAGAGCGTTGCTGCTTACTTTTCATACGAATCAGGTAACTGTGATTAACTCCTCAGTGACTTGCAGTCAGGTACCTGTGAGCAGTGCTCTGACTGGAGCCACTCTGAATGTATTTAACTTCCAATCTCAAGCCAAGAAATCAATTAACATGAACACTAGGAAACGTGTATCCTTACGCCATCAGCAGAACATTTACAGACAAATCATAGTGCTGACTTTCGCCAGGCAACTCTGGAGTCCCTGCTTGGCTGTATTTGCCCTGACAAATAAAGTTATTCTGTGGATTTAAATGCCTGTGTGGTTGTTGGCAGGTTTCTCTCTGTGGGACCCAATGCTGATGAGATTATGTTAAGAGTTGGTATTCTGACATCTGGTTTTGAGCACAGAAAGCTGCCAGACTGTGAGGGAGCTCAGCATCCCCACTCCCTCCATTGTGCTGGTGAATGTGCAGCCCTCATTCAGGACGGCAGTTCCTCTGACACAGAAAATGGCAACAGGTTGTTTCCTGCTATTGAAAGGAATGCATTTTTTCAAATAAAACTCAATGGTTTTTGAGGTGGAGTTGGAGATAATTCTGGTTGAGATTGATGGTGCTCATATCTGTTAGAGGAAAGGCTCCTCTGCTGGTGGGATGGATGGGAGGAAGCACGAGTGTGTCTGCACCTTGCAGCTGTTACAGAAGTGGGATTTGCTTTGTAACTGCAGAGCAGTTCTGAGCAGTGGAAGAGGAGCATGTCCTGCCCAGCAGTAACAGCACAGCTGAGCTTTGCTCTTCTGACGAGGAGATACAAAACAGATGTGAGTCCCTCCAACATCTGCACTGATAGGTGGCTGCAGTACAGGAACTTCTCTGGGAACTGATGAATAGGGCAGGAGTGCAGACTCATCCTCCAGGTGACCGAGGGGCTCTGAACCTCTCCTGGTCTCCAGCCTTCTTTGAAAAGCAGAAGTGCCTTTAGCAGAGGGTGGATCTCTGGAGCCTTCCAGCCTCTCAGCAGTGGGTGGATGCAGTTTGTCAGACACCTGCGTTGCACTTCCCATTGCAGTGATGGTTCTGCTCGTTCCTCTTGCCCCAGCTGCCAAGCAATCTGGAACAGAATGTTGTTTTCCAGACAGACAGCTGCTCTGTCAGCCTGCGCACGGCTTCTTGCATGGCTCTGCTGTCCCTTTGTGCTTGGCCAAATTTTGAGCTCTACCTCCATGCCTCCTGGCAGCTGGTTCTGCTCCTGGAGCCTGCGTGTGCACCGATGGGATCCTCTGCGTGGGGAGGAGGAGCTGCAAGAACAGAACACCGGGTTCCTGGGTGTGCTAATTAGAGGCACTGTATTTACCTCGTGCCCCACTCCATGGGGAGATAGCACTTAGTTCAGATGCACGAAGAGAGTGCATAAACCTTTCATGTGAGGCTAAATGTCTGTTCTAAATAATTTATCACAGCTTTTTTTCCTAGATGTGTTCTCTATAGCTGAGCCCTGGGTGCTGAAGCAGTCTCCCTTCTGTGCAGAGGATTGCAGAACAATTACTGTACAATTTTAAAAGCAGGATTGTTTTCCTGGCTTGCTTTCCTGCCGGCTGTGTTCTGCTCCTCGGTTGGGTGGTAGGGGCTGCATCACTGGTTCAGCCTCGTGCCTCTCATTGGCCTCCCCATCCTGTACTGTACTTAACCCCCAAATCTTCCTGCAGGAAAGAATTGCACCCAAGGGCATCCTCATGCTCTGTGTGCTCACGTGAGTTTCCATAAGGGTTTGTTTGGATGTTTTAAACAGTTCCTGCCCACCCCAGCACCCAGCCCTGCCCAGGGCTCCAGCTCTGGTCATGATCTTTGTAGGACAAATGCTGACAGCTCAGCCCCCAGCAGTGCCCAGCGAGGGGATGCTGCAGCCAGGCTCTGTGACACTGCTGTCCCCATGGGCAGCACCACCCATGCAGGTAAGGATCACCTTTAATTGCTTTGTTACACAGCGTGGTAAACACAGCTGTTTGCTGGAGGCTTTGGAAAGAGGAACAAACTGCTGTTGCCTATGGCACCTGGGAGACCCCTTCCAAAATGACTGAGAGGCATTGCCTGGACAGGGGCAGGGCTTTGGCCTCACACTGCGTGTGCTGGTTGGGATGTTTGTGCTGCAGCTCCCTGGGCACGAGCTGTGACCCCATAATGAGCTGCTCGTGCTTTGCTGTGAGGAGCAGAGGTGGATGGGGCTGCGCTGGGCCCTGCAGAGCTGCTTCCTTGGCAGGCATCATTTTCTGTGTGCATTATTCCAAAATTAATCTCATCTTATTTACTTGTGCTCCCCTGACCTCCTGCAGCGTGTCACTCTCCTCGTGTTTGTGTTTAAGCTGTCACAGTGCGCGGGCCCTGCTGCGCTTTGGGCTTTAATTTACTGTTGCTGTGAGTAGGAACCAGTAATAAAATCAGCAAATTAAAAAGTATAACAAATGTTTTCCTCCTCTGCAGATGCTCCACGAGGCCGGACCAGCACCCACCATCTGGGAGCCTGGGCAAAGCACAGCCTGGGGTGCCAGCTCTCTCAGTGGGGAAGCAGAGAGCTGGAGAGTGTGGAATTGGGGATTTTAAGGTGTCTGGTAAATGCGATGTTACGGTGTGGCTTCTGATGGTAGCAGAGCACAGATTCCCATCAGCAGTCTCTGCCAGAGATTGCAGTCTTCCTTTCCCCCAGGAGCACAGTAATGCTGGCCACTCACCCACCCCAACGTGGGGCATGGAGCGCTGCCAAGCCGCCTCTGTCTGCCGTCAGGGCTTTGAGGGGAAAAGGTGATATTAGCAATTGCAATAAAAGCATTTGCATGTATATTGAAAAAGAAAAGGGAAGCTAAACCAAAGCATTACTAATATCTTGGTTTAAATCTTAGTTTTAGAAGTGATGATACCGTCAATCTATTTAATTTCTGTCTCAGGATTGTTCCTGGGGACGTGTCATGCCCTGCAGGAGCAGCCATGGGCACACAGCTGGGGCATGAGCGTTACGCACAGCTCACACGTGCTGCTGTCACAGGTAATTGGCCCAGCCTCCATCACTGTCCTCCACTGCAGCTGGAGCCAGCAGGGGCGGCTCTTAATTAAATCTCGCACCGTCAGGGGGTGAAGGACAGGAACACAGAGCATCACGAAGCAGACAGGCCTCCAGCTCTGGAAATGCCATCGGGGTTGTCAGCGAGGAGTGATGGTTCTCTCTGACGCAGCCTCAATAGACAAACGTGCTGTGCTGAGCCTGAGCTCCCCAGCACAGGGCTGAGCTGAAGGCAGCACCCACCAGGTGCGAGTGCTGAGGAAGCTCCTGGAAATAGCTGGCTTTGGAAACCTCGTCCTTCGCTGTGCCATCTGCACAGTGCGTGGGCTCAGCAGCTCCAGCGGTCCGTGCTGTCCTTACAGGGATGAGCACAGCCCCACGGTATTGCGACTGAAGCAGTGTATAATTTAGGATTGAAAAACACCCCTAAATGTGCATTAATTATAAATATACCATAAACGACAGTCTTTTTCCTCAAAGAAGTCACGTTAGATGTGATGCACGGCCCCAGAGGAGTGTGTCAAATGAGGCTGGTGCCCGGCTGGAGCAGCCCAACCTGCCTGTGTGTCCCCAGGCACGATGTGATGAGCTCTGTACAGTGCCCATAGTGGTGGGCAGTTGTGAGCTGTGTGCACCTGTCTCCTTCCAGATGCAAAACTCAGTTCCCTCGTGGTGCCTCTGTGGATCATCTCTGTTCTTTGGGTGTGAATGCAGCAAGGCTGCATGGCTCTCCTGTGCTCAGATGTGGCAGTGAGGGGTGTGTGTGCTGGCTTGCTTTTCCTCAAACCCATCGTGGTGCTTCCATCTGTCACCTGGTGTGGGTCTGTTCCTCTGGTGTGTGACACGGCAGGCCTGGATTGGGAGTTGAAATGGTTGGAAGAGGCTGAAGGGTGACTGCTCTCCTTGCTGCAGGGCGGGGGGACATCAGGGGCTCTCCAAACCACTGCCCCATGGCTTGGCCATGGTGCTAAGTCTTCTGGAGGCTGTGAAACCCCTCCACTCTGCTCGTTTCTCTGCTGGAAATAGAATGCTTTTAACAAAAATCCGAAAAGCTTTTAGAGATGGGCTGGTGATGTGATGCACCCCTGGGATTTGGGGGGTAATGAGGTGGGAGGGAGCTGTTGCAGAGGTTGTGTGAGCATCACAGAGCAGTGCCAGGCTGTGCCAGGCTGTGGGGCTGCAGCACATGCTGGGTGGTTAGCATTTCAGTTCCCAAAAGCCTTGCAGAAGCACTGGAGTTTGCACTTTTGGAGCCTTTCTCTGGTGAGAGCAATGCATCTTTCAGTGTTCTTCATGTGTCAGGAAAGCTTTTCTAAGTGCCAAAGTGCCATTTTTTACTCTGCAGCCATTCCTCAGCACAAAATGTGTGGCAGGAAAGAACTTCTGCTCCTGGCCGAGGATGTGGTCAGCTGTGGAGCTGAGCTGGGGGCTTGAAGGAATGGCTGGGGAGCTGAGTCCAGGCTGTGCCGTGCTGCTGGGGAGCTGCTGATTGAGCACGGAAAGCAAGGTGAAATGCAGAGCCTCAGCACAAAGGCTGTCGTGTCTTCACAGAGCAGATCCCATCCAGGGCCCTGCACGTGTCCTTTCTGCAGGCAGCCCAGGCCCCATAGGACCCTCTTCCTCTTCTCCCCATTCTGCCCCACACTGTATGTGCTGATGCACAGAGAGGAGAGCTCCTAAGGGAGCCATTCTCAGGGCCACTGATGTTCTCCCTGGCGTGCTGCTGAGCAGAGGGGGACCTGGCAGGGTGGGAGCTGCACGAGTGCTTTGTGTTGCCAAACTAGGTCATGCTGTGAACTCGAGTGATGTGGCAGACAGAGCTAAAAATACAGGCAGAGCCGAGCGATTCCCCAGCAGCTGTGAAGGGCTGTGGCCCCATTGGGTCAGACTTTGACCTCTATCCCAGCCCCATCCAGGATGGTCTCCAGGGTCCTTGGGCTGCTGTGATGGGGCGATTCAGGAGCAGGTAATGGAAAAGCTCACCTGGGGCTGCAGGGCCACAATCAACCCCCCCAGGCACATCTCAGCTGGTGGTGAAAGTCCCTGCAAGGCAACTTGCAGTGGGCTGTTTGGAGAGCCTGTCCTGCAAAATCTGGGCATCTCATCCCCAACTCTTCACCTGTCCCAGAAAACAGCCCCATCTTCCTGTAATTATAAATGTGTGAATTGTTAGTTACTGCAAAATAACATGGAGGAGAGAGGATAACACCATAACCCCAGACCGATGCAAAAAAAAAAAAAAACCAAAAAAAAAAAACCAC